GTGTGTGTGTGTGTGTGGTGGTCCCGTCCCGTCTGTCCCATTTGAACCAGCTGGAAGCGATAATGCTTATAGAGAGTTCCTCTCCTGAGACCAGTGCAAATAAAAAGCCGTGAAATTAGCTCCCCTTAACCCCTGTAACCCCCGCTACACACACCATGAATACAGACCAGCACAAACGCACACACACATGCACACACACATGCCACCTTCCCATAGGACCATTTGACATGAGTGTCATCTGGGCAATTATGACAAAGCAATGACAGAAACAAGTCACCAGAGATTACCAGATGAGCCTTTCTGCTTAAAAATCTACTAGGAAACGTTTTTGGGTTTTTTTTCAAGGTTTTTTGTTGTTTGTTTGTTTTTGTTTTTATAAAAACCATCACACTACAGCACCAGAACCACCCACTCATTTCTGACTCTATGGAAAAGTAAAGGCAAAAGCTTTATCACATAATTGGTAGACTCATTAATGTGTTTATCACACAAAAAAGCACAGGAAGTTAAACAAATTGGATTTCGGGGTTTAATCTTTAATTTCTTAACCTAATTTATTCCTAAAACCAAAACAACAAATTGACTTAGTTAAACTTAAACTAAGTCAATCCTAATATTAAGAGGGGGTGCATAAAAATAAAGCATATTTTTCGTCAGAAAAAGGAAACTTTTGAGATCAATAATTATGATAAAGTCATAATTTCAATTTAAATGTCAAAATGCTGGGAATAAAAAAAAAAATCTGAGAAAATCTTACAGTTCTGACTCTCTAGGGACTTCAAATAAACAAAACAGACCTAATAAAATAGACCCCTCATTCTTTCGATTTTGGACTGATTTGTAAGGACTCTGACGGACTAAATTAATAACAGAGAATCATTTTCAAACATTTTCCTATGGTCTCAAAAACAATTCAGCACTAATGGTCATTTTATCCAAGATGTATTCCATTGTTCCTATTTTCCATGGAAAAACGGTCTAAAAAAGGCAAAATAAAAGTTTTCCTATTATATCACTTGACCATATCATGTTGCTGTTTAACATGAGCGTGCAAATCAATAGAGCAAAGTTCAATTGTAATCAAAACCAACCAAATGAGTCACAGTTGTTTTTGTTGTCTTTTGTACAACAGCCGAGCAGAGTTCATTGCACTAGTGGTTTACATGTGATTTTGTGGGCATTTGCCATATTTAGTTGCAAAGCGGCATCTGGGGTAGGTAATGTATTTCAGTGGGTTTTTTTGCTTTGTTGAAATTCTCTTTGCATCCAAACGGCAATCAATAAATCAAATGCTCTGGAAAAAATGAAACCAATCCAGTATTTGTGGCAGGCCTGTGATAAGCTGGCCTACCTGTGTGCACTCGCTGTGCATGACAATGTGTGCCGGGGGAGTGGCTTTGGATAGAGGCCTGAAGGGAGAAGATTGTGGGATTTTTTTTCGGTAGTATACCTTTAAAATCTAGCTGTCTCTTGCTAGTCTCTACCTTCGCTTTATTAAAACTATTGCACCACATCTTCACCTTAAAGTGGATGCTAAAGCAGTATTAAAACATCGTGACGTCCAGATTTAGTGTGTGAACTGAATTTTGAAAACACACCAAAAGGTGAATGCATGATGTGGTCAGAAGCTTATATTGTAATTATTTTGACAGATATAACAATATGATTCACTATTAGTGGGACCTTTTTTTGCATCACTATTTTCATAAATAAAAACTATTATAATCATAATGATGTGACATTTGTTTGGGTCTGTACCAAACAAACGTGGAGAACAGGATTTGCCTGATTTCACTGCAGTTTTTTTAAGAAATTTAAAAAAAAAAAAAGTGAAAATTGCAATCTTTTTGGTATAATTAATTAAAAACCAAAAGCAACCAGTTCCAGTGAGAATTAAATTGTTAGTAGTTTGGTGACGTACAGCTCAACACTTTGCAGGGCGAGGACTTCTATGATTGGTCAAACTTGCGGTCACACAGAATTGATGCCATTGGTTGAATTTGCGTTAATTGTTGCAACATTGCAACTTCTTTGAGGGACTGTACAGTACTTTATTATAATGCAGTTTTTTTAAACATTTTACATGTATGAAAAAATTGCAGCTTCTGTGATTTGGATACTGCAGTTTTATAATATTAGGATTAATTGTGCAAGACTGAATTTAAACTCGGTATAGAGTGGGACAAAATGTCACTGTGAGAGCTGTGATCGCTTACTGATTTGTCAATAATTATTATTGATTATACTGGCAATGTGTAAAACTAGAATTTTTATTATTATCATGATTATTATGATTCTGATTCTAATTATTATTAGTAGTAGGAACTTAAAGGTATATTGTGAAGGGAATTAAATTGCAATACAAACGTGAAGATTCAAATCAGTGAGAAGAAAAATGAATCGTGATATCAGTTGTAGTATCAGATCGCGAAGACTTCAAGAAATATGCACTGTTTTGCACAGTTAATACCCTATCACAGAAATAAAAAAAGAATTCTATAATTTGATAAACATAAGAAAAAATATATTTTGTAGATTTTTGTCTGTAGAAAATTTGTCCTCAATCTCAACCATCAGGAGAAAATTGTATTGTGAACTGTATCAGATGGTGAGTGTATCGTTACATCCTTAATTAGTAGCAGTGGTATTAGTATCAGGATTTGAATGATATGGTATGAAACCCCCACCAGAAAAGAAGGAAGCCGTTTGTTCTAATGGCAGCAATTTTTAGCCTGTTGAATGTTTTTTACTGCAGAGAAATCTGGAAGGCCTTTCTTTGTAGTCTCGGTCTTTAGGCTTTTTCACTCCTCTGCCATGCACACGGAAGGCGTGTTCGACTCGTCAAGCACCGGTTTTCCAAACAAATCAGTGACAAAAAACACAGCCTCATCAATAATTGTCTTTAATCATTTCAGTCTGATCAATAAACCGGCGTTTTCAATTCAAAACAACAGCCTCTGTCTTTAAAACAGTCGGATCACCTGAAGTCATGACAGAGCTATTTCTGTCAGAATGTGTTTGGAAGCTGATTCGGGGGGCTGATCAGGATGAAAATCTGGCATCAGTTTGCCCACGGCTCGTATCGCCTAATCATCAGATTCATCATCGCTCCTCTCCCTCTCCTCTCTTCCAGTAATCAGTGCGCTTTGTCCGACGGAGGCGGGCTCACAGCTAGAGGATGACATCACCATGGCAATGCTGCTTGCTGACAGCCTGAGGGCTACGCTGCTCTGGGATAGGCTGGCGCTGGCCTCCGCCTACCATCTCCACACATGCACCGTCCAATCAAAGGGGCCGTTAGCGCATTAGACACACGGGTTAATTTGTGGGACAACACAGAGACACAGGAGCCGAGTGCAGAATGCCTCTGGGTATCTCTACACTCATCCTCTTCACACAGTTGGCAAGGACAGTAAATAAATGGCTGGAGGTGTGTGTGTGTGAGTGGGTGAGATGAGAGAGACTTAGGAGTGTTGGTGGGTGGTGTGTAATGGATGAGAGAGGTTGAAAGAACAGGGGAGCGAAGGCTAGAAAGACAAGAGAAAGATAGATAACGCTAGGAGGAAGTGGGAGGAAGTTAAGGGAACGGGGCGGTAAAGGAGTGAAGGAA